AGAAACAGATACGGATACAGAGACAGGGACGGATACAGGCACATATGCAGATACAAATACACATGCAGATAAACACACAGAGACACAGAGAGAGAAAGAGAGTGTGAGAGAGCGAAAAAGAGAGAAAGAGAGAGAGAGAGAGAACACACGCGTATAGAGAGAAAGAGAGCGAGAGAGAGAGAGAGAGAGAGAGAGAGAAATACACACACGCAAACACATTATACATATACAGTTATGAAACAAAAGCAAAGAGCTTCTAGGCTCAAGATCCATACCTCGAGCCCTCTCTTGGTATTTTTCTATCACTCAACCTTCGTTGCGTTATCTTTAACAAAGTTGAATTATCGATTAAAGAGAGGGTCTTTTACTCTAGCCAGTGTTCTATTCGATCCAAAGTTCTATGGAATTGTTGTTCTCTCGTTAATAAAAGATCCGAAAAAAAGGAAGAAACACGGTTCAGCACGTATACCCAAACTTAATTTCCTTTCGGAGAAAACAAAAAAAAGAAAAAAGAAGAAATTTGTACAGAGAAAAGCGGTGTCGCGTAGTCATTTCTTCCCCGTACGATCGTATCATCAAACACCCATTTTCTTCGATTACTGGCAAGTTCGCGTACGTATAGATCGATTCCGAATTTCCGAATCCAAGATTCTAGTCACAACACCCTACAGCGCAAGTGTCTTTTTGCGTAGAATGCTCTCGTATGAATGTTAGCTATGTATGCATTTTCTATAAAGGCAATCCTCATGCACGCACGCAACACGCATTTTCACATTGCATTGTCATTGTACCAAAAGCGAATACTTTTTGTAAATAAATGTACTAATGTTGGTAGCTCGTCTCTTTGCTTCGTAAAATCGAGAGAGTCGCGATCGAATTGGCCGTTGTTTCGTTATCAAACCACCGCTCACCGACATTATCTTCGCAACTTTCACACTTGACCTTTGCGATATTCGACCCCGTTTCCCCTACTTGCCGTCGACTCATTAATTTCTTTTTCGGCTGGTATAAAGCACAAGCTCCGCTGGCCTGCAAGCTGGCGCAACGTGTGCACGTGTTCGAAAAAAATGTTCGAGAACGCATTTCCAAAACGTGTTCCAAACGTGGACACGGTGGTGCCTGTATTCTGCACAGGTGGACAGATGTTCCGCGAACGTGAACGCGTGTCGGCCACCCGATAATTGCGACAGCTTTTCAATTCTTTGCATGATCCTGATCATTCCAATCGTTCATTGACTACTCGATCCAGACGTCGAAGCCGACCAACCGGAAATCGTGTTCGGCCAAGGACAAGGATGTGGTCGGTAAGCGAAAGCCCACGTACATATATATTTATGCGACAACGAAAAATCGGTTCTCCTCTCGGATCTCGTGTTCGGATCATATTGACTGACATTTTCAAATCCAAATCCGAGTAGGCAAACAAGGCTGAGATCCTGCCGACGTGCACTACCGATCGACTAAGACTTCGATTTTTCAAGTGACCATCCCAAGCGACTTTCAAAAAGCGTCTTTCAAAGCGATTTCGTCGCGTAGCATTGTCCATTTCACTTGCTTCCCCTTCGATCGAGCGAATTGTATTTCGAAACCTAACAACGATGCAATAAGAATCGTCGCGGCACCGCAAATTACAGTCATTGTAAAAGAAAAAAAAAAGTAGCTCGACACAACTACTTATAGTGACAGCAATAAAGGTACAATAAAAATATATTTACAACAACGAAACTACCTCTCGGCATTTCTCGATTCCCATTGCTCTCCTTCGATCCTCGGCAGAAACCGTAAACGCGTACATTCTTATGTCAAGAACGTGACAAAAAAAACCTGATTTCGCAACATACGGTGACGGACTAAAGTTTACGTACACCATTTAAAACGCAATAACATTTTTAAAACTGGACTACGTGAATGTTTCTTTTTTTTTAATTTCAAAGGAACTAGATTGCTATTTTTTAAAAATTTTACTATTACTTGGAATGACAAAAGCAGATGAAAGAAACGCTGATTTTTGAACTTTTTTATCTTTGCGTATAACAAAAATTAAAAAAAAAAATGCGTTTTGTAGATCTCGGTAACTCATGTACACGGTGACAATTTTATCGAAGCCACAGGCGTCGAAAGATGCAAACATCTGCAGATTTCTAACTGTTATCAATCGAAAGTGTTAAAAAGCGCGACAAAACTGCGATTTCAAATTTTTTAAATTTTGTTATAGGCTCAGATAAAAAAAACGAGAGTTTCTTATTATTTTTTTGTCATTCCACGCAATAACAAAATTAAAAAAGTAGTAGTTTAATCTTTAAAACTAGTTCCTCAAATTTTTAATTAATTAGTTCCTCTAATATTAAAAAAAAAATCAAGTCTTTTAGTCCACTTTGAAGAACGTTGTTGCGTTTTAAAACATGTACGAATACTTTAGTCTGTCACTGTATTTGAAATTTAAAATAAAGCGTCACTGCCCGCGTTCTCGCGTCCTCGCTCGGCGAAACCAATCAGGAGCAGCCGAATATAAGTGCAAATACGATTGGTTGAAGTTAGATTGTTAGATAATCGGTCGCTTTGAATGGTTGGCTAAAAAAGTATGTCGCGCAGGGATGTCTAAGGGAGACTAACGGGAGACAAAACGAGGGTCCCCACGATTTTATTTCCCCCTCGTAGTGCACATTCCTCCTACTGTCTAAATACATGCATACATATTTATCACGGCATACGCGTACATATGTATGTACGTATCTATCCTAATCTAGCTATCTAACTCTAGCTTTAGCTATCGCATCGAGTAGTACTGTTACGATAGCCAACGACCGCAGCGAATTCTACAAAATTTTTTTAAATCTGTTATGTCACGCGCGAGACACGGGTATCGTAGAATATGAAATAAGAACTGGTTGTGCAACGATTCACGTTGAATAATTCGACCATTTTGTTCTTTACCGTTCGCGAGGCGAGACAGAAAGTACATAGCACGAAGCACGAGGGTTTTGACACGATGCGAATTGTATGCTGCATTAATAAGGGCAAAGGTGTTTCATAAGAATTAGCCTATCGACCTTGAGGTTCTCTAGTTCTATCGTTCCGTGTTCGGTTCGTGGCCAACCCTGTGTCGAATTAATCTTGAATCAGAATCAGAGGTCTTGTCGTCGAGACCAAAGAGACTGAACGAGAGTTACGAGCAAAACTATATACGATCGATTGAAAATTGAAACGATTGCACGCTCGAAGGTTGCTCAAACGATTTACGGTTTACGGCTTACGATGATTCCGGTAAGTATAGTTGTAGGAACTCGGGAGGACAGTTGACGTTCGACATGTAAAAGACAAGTGTTCACGCTCATCGTTTTCCAACGAATTGTCAAACAATTGTTGCAATTGTTTTTAGTCTGCCGTCCGAAGTATCGTCCGTCGTTCGTTCTCCACGTCAAAATGGAGTGGTGCGCAGCAGGTGAGGATATTCTCGATTTATTAATTCTTCTGCCAAACATAACCTCAACCTTTTCACATCGTACCGCGCATTTCTTGCGCTCGCTTTGCTTCTTATCCCTATAATGATCATATTTTTCTGTAGAATTGATTGTCTCTTCGCGATCTACTCTCAACTATTTTCACTGTGTGCAATAATCTTTTGTTTCGGATAAGCGAATTATCGTTGTTTCGCGCATCGCTTGCGCTGCACGTTGAAGGACACCAAAGGTCATTCGTTTTCAATTCTAACAGTTTCGCAATAAATTTGTCAAATTCTGACGCGCGGTCACGTTTCTTCGCGCGAACGTGGATTTGCCGCCATAAAACTCGAAATATTCACAATACTCGTTAGTTTCTCTCATGTATTCCGTTTCCCCAGATGACCGTACGAGATGCTTTGAATTCAGCCCTGGATGAGGAAATGGAGAGAGACGAGAAAGTATTTTTACTCGGAGAAGAAGTAGCTTTATATGATGGTGCTTACAAAGTGTCTAGAGGTTTATGGAAGAAGTATGGAGATAAGCGCGTCGTAGATACCCCCATTACCGAAGCAGGATTCGCTGGGATCGCTGTTGGTGCTGCCATGGTAGACCAAATTCGAATTCAGTATTTGTTTCATAAAGCGACGTCGTATTGTACTGGGAAAATGTTTTAGGCTGGTCTACGCCCTGTCTGCGAGTTCATGACATTCAACTTCTCGATGCAAGCAATCGATCAGATCATTAATTCTGCTGCAAAAACGTTCTACATGTCTGCTGGCAGAGTAAACGTTCCTGTTGTCTTTCGTGGTCCTAACGGGGCAGCCGCGGGTGTGGGTGCGCAACATTCACAATGCTTCGGCGCCTGGTACAGTCATTGTCCTGGCTTAAAAGTGGTATCGCCTTACACCAGCGAGGATGCAAAAGGTTTACTAAAGGCTGCTATTCGAGATCCCGATCCTGTCGTCGTACTAGAAAATGAAATCTTGTATGGGATACAGTATCCCATGTCGGACGAAGCTCTGTCGAAAGAATTTGTTCTGCCTATTGGTAAAGCAAAAATTGAACGAGTTGGAAAACATGTTACCATGGTGGCACATTCCAAAGCGGTCGAGCAAGCGCTCGAAGCAGCGAATGAACTTGCAGGAAAGGGTATAGAGGCTGAAGTAATAAATCTTCGATCTTTGAGACCGCTGGATATAGACACGATCGTGCAGTCGGTAACAAAGACAAATCACATTTTGACCGTGGAACAAGGTTGGCCGCAGTGTGGTATCGGTGCGGAAATCAGCGCAAGAATTTCCGAAAGTGAGTCTGAACTGTATATGTATATTATTATCTTGCTGTATTATCGTAGTTTCGATCACGACCGATAACGATTCGTTCTTAAAATTACAGGCGAAGCGTTCTACCACCTCGATGCCCCTGTAATTCGTGTTACGGGTGTCGATACACCCATGCCTTATACAAAAAGCTTGGAAATCGCTGCACTGCCACAAATGAGCGACATAGTGTTTGCTGTGAACAAAATACTTGGCGTATCAGAGTAACTATTTCTAGAAATTTATAGGTAAAATTCAAATTTCCCTTCAAGTTGACCGATCCTGCCAATTTCTTACTCACCATCTTCAACCCGTTCCTTGATTTAGCGTCCTCTAGATTCCTTGCTAGGTAAAGAGAGCATGTAGCGGAGAGTAAGTACAAAGTTAAATAATAATAAGAAGAAAAATTATAGAAATTTATGTTTAAGCAACTCCGGAACTTTCGCGCATATAGAAAGTGAAACGTTTATTTGTTAATTGGTTTCTAGTACATGCAAACATACTTGTGAATACCGTTAACGTACATATACATAGTATATACTATATACTCTACACTATATACTATATGCATACATGTATATGATGTGATATACGTATGAACAGTAATACCTACGATGGAATATTTAAATTATAATGTAGATCCAAATAACAAATCAACATTACGCGTCGCGGAACGTACGCAATGGACGTTGATAACATGAAAGAATTGTAAATTATTGGCGTGTATGAAATGAGCGTGTAAACGCTGCATTTGTTTATCGATTATTTATTACTGAAACGTAATAAATTGCAATGTACATAAAATCCGTCTATACTCTTTCATCTGTAATGATTAACTACCCGTCGATGCTAACCATATTTATTTTTTGCACAGTGTCGTCATCCCCTGCCGATAGTCATGGATGATACATACGTAATAAACAAGATGTTATGACAGCCATGTAGCGTTCGAAAGCGTCCTTCAATCCTCCGTCCCTGAAAAAATTAAACGTTCAATTCGAATGGGACAAGTGGCGCGCATTTGCTTTTCAGGTTCTTGCATCTCACCTCAGTACAGGCATATCTAACCCGCATTGAGTATAAATCGTTAGAAAGTTCTTAAGATCCGTGTGACTACAATTGCTCTGGCGCCATGGTTCCACGCATTTCTCTACCAGTTCTAAAAAGAAGAACCTTAGGTCTCTGGAGCGATGAAGATTACATCCTAATCCCAATATCGCTCTGGAGTACGAACGGAAATTGTTCTCCACTTCTCGTTGGCTACGTTCCGAAAGTATGGATTCCAGTTTGCTACATACAAAACTGCAAAACAAACGTCGCAGGAAACAATTCATTTTCTTAAGATTTGATTGTATCGGTCATTTCGAAGATCGAACAACATACCGTTTGTGGTCTACATTGCTTTCCAAGTATAACCTACAGTCTGCCAATGCGAATAGAAATTCTCTGTCCAAATCCGTATCGAAGTATTCGGAGCCTACGCAGCGATATGTCCACCGAGACATCATACTATTGGCGCAATGATATAAATCCGGGAACGTTAGAAATTGCAGCTTCCTTTTGTTCATTTCGAATCTGAGACAAGCGATGAATACCACAGCCGCGTATCGCCTAAGGGATCGTAAGTATTTATTAATTAATAATGGGACGATCGAGGTGGTGCGGCAGTAATTTGTGATTTTCGAGTTCTTTTTACTTGGCAAGGTCTTCGGATAGTAAAAAATGTTGCTCGATATTGGCGACCAAGGAGCCTGGCAAATCCTCGACGATCTTGCATACTCTTTTCACATTGTCGTACTGTCTGCGGCAGCTTTTCAACGTCATACCCGTTTTCTCCGATACTTCGTCCATATCTTTTCTACTTTTCGAGGATAATTTTTTGCCCAACAACTCTCTGATAACAATGTCGTCGAACTCATAGTACCTATCAAACGTCAACCGTGATCGTTACACGAAAAGCATCCGTTAGAAGTTGCCGCGGGGCATCGTTGCCAACGAAATTTTCTTACATTTCAATGAGCATTTGACTGGTTTGAGGTTCTATCTGAAACGCAATTTGTTCGCTCGCTAATTTTGTAGGTGTATGGAGCAGCTTCTCCAGAAGGGCGTAAGTTCGATAGTGGTCTAGAATGTCGGAAGCAACCAGCTCGATAGGAGCGTTTGTTTGATGGCATATACCTCGTTGATGCAAAATATTGACCGCATCGCTAGCTAAATTTTGTTAGAACGTTAAATCACAGCGATTAGAAGAGGATTACATTCGAGGTATAAAAAGCTATGGATTTCGAATGTCATGTTTATGCGCAGAGCGTTCTATTTCGTCGGAGAATTAGATTTTACAAACTCACAAGAATGACCGTCGACCCAAAGCTGATATATTTCGGGATCGACGAGGGTATAATTACTTATGAATACGTCAACCTCTGACAACATCTTGAACACACGATATTTTCCGAGTCAAACGAAACGAAAGCTAATCTCTATCCGAGAATGGATTTCCCCGCACGCAAAATTCAAGACATTGCGATGATACGCATCAATTTCTTCATATAACTTTGACTATATACATTATTGAAAACATAATACGTGTTCGCGTAACGTTACATGCGCGAAAGACAACGTCAACATCAACAGTGACGGTGGCAATGGGTATTGTACATATACATATATACATGCTACATATGTAAGTATCCAAGTAAGAATCTTCTCGATCGCACGAATCGAATCAAATCGAATGATATGTATTATCATTATTGTAATTATTATTATAATTATTGTTATGATTATAATTTATTGTCTAAGGTTAATAAAACCCATTAGTAATGTTTGTCCAAACTTTCGATTATCTTGGATAGCTTGTACCTATGTTCAAGCGGATTCGTTAAATTTGACAGACTTTTCGGCTTGGAGCTTCTTTTTATATACAATATCCACATGGTAGATTTTCCTGAACATTGCCATACCCTTGGTTTAGTTTTCTATGCCCTAATTTTGCCATAATTAATGTTTATAAGCGACACTGCATTTGCATACGTGGGCGATCGTGACGCCTCTTGTGGAGAAAAAGTGAAACTTAGTTCGGGGTTCGTACAGCGCCAGTTAAGATGGTGACAAAATGCTTGAACTGATTTGGCAGCTGGTTAGTTAAGCAACAGATAATTCTTATTAACATTAGATGGCACCATCTTGCATTTCCAGAGAATAGTGTACCGTGTCGGTCAATTTGTCCAATAGTTTCAGCGCATCGTCGCTACGTGTAACGGCGCTGTACAGACACTCGAACGAAGCAAGCAGCAAATTCGAAATGTTTCATAAATGCACGCTATTTCGCGAGCTGAATGTTACGGAAATAAAAATTACTCGCAGCATGTCTGTATTTCCGTGAGAATTTTGGAACTTTCGATCGTCGAATTTTAGAGAATATTCGCGCGGTCTAATCGGAAGAAGGTGAAACGACATAATCGCGCGAGTGTTTGGTGAGACGCGTCGTTGCGTTTCGTCATACTTTACATAACAAAATCGTCAACACCCGCGTACTTTTTGACCTGCGCTGAAGAAAAACGCGAGAAACACGTTGTCAGTAATGTGTGTGTATATACAATATCAATAAGTACATTGCACATGATTAGCTAACGTAATCGGTGAATTTTGCGCATCCATTCTTCTACTTTTTCTTCTTCTTCTTTTTGTTTCTGTTCTTTTTTTTTTAATTCTCGTTTACCGCTATTGCTCGCCTGCTGCTGTTCTCTGCACGTCGTACGGTTTCGATTAACTTGTTCTAGTTTCTTTCGTTTTGTACAGATCATCCACGTGGGCGACGAGATAAGAATCGATCCTACATAGCCGTATGCAGTATCATTACCGGGGTCTGTTAACTTGTTTGATGCACATGCACATCCACACGTCCCTCTGCACACAGTGCTAATTCCTCGCTAGTTCGGAGTCTGGAAAATAGGCTGCTCGAGATGGTATCGTTGACGTTCCATCGAACCGCCTTCCATTCGCGTTTACAAAGGCGTAACGTAAACTTTCGACAGGGGGAATCGTAATTTGTCTAAATTGCAGATAAAAACGTTTAGATAGTCCGAATAAGCTAAAAATCTACTCTAGACGGATCCGTGCAAATCAGAGAAAACGGTCGATGATTTCTATATGAGAAACGGTTGTGGGTTCACAGCACAGTTCAGAGCCGGTTCAGGGGCTCGAAATTAAAGGGCCGAACAATGACGTATCAATAGACAAAGCGACAAAGTGTAGCAAAATAGTAGAGAGCGGGGGCAAGCAGTAAACACAGAAAAAAAGGAAATACTGTTTCGCTCGTTTACACGGGTAAACACGCTTGCGCAAACGTTGGGATGCGTCTTCCTTTCGATCGGTGTCACGCGTAACGTCGAACCTCGACGTTAACTCGTGTCACCGCTTTCGATGCAAAAGAGAAATTTGTTGATGTACGATCCAGGCGAATCTCAATGTACACGGTTCAAGCGTTTGGGCGACTGAAACACGATATACCAACGGAATCGTGTCGTGTGCTCGGTGGCGAATCGGAAGTTTTGAAGGTCGGCCTTTTTGTTTATCTTTCGTTCTCGTATCTGCCTCGATCGACATACGCCGGGGCGGGGGTCGCCTCACATACAGCCGCAAGCTTCGACCACCATGTTCGGCAACGTTTTCTGCGTGATCGTGTTGTTCGAGTCGACGTACAGCAGCTGTATGGCCGACAGTTGCGTCGGCGAGCAACACGGCACGATCTCGCTTTTACGGTGCATCGTGTTGCCCCTTCTGGCCAACAACCTCTGTGAACAAGAAAGCCGGTTACGTTGATTAGGGGTTCGGATTTAAGAGGGAGAACGACGGAACGGAAGAAGGCGGATGCATCTCTCACCCTGATCACGTTGTTGTACGCGGAACCGCTGGCGGTCAACGAAGCCGCGGATGAACAAGAACCGCGACAAAAATAGGCGTGATACCCGCTCGGGTGTAGGATCCAGTCGCTCCAACCGATGTCTTCGAAATTTATGTACAATTCGTCCCTGCAGCATTCCTTCATCTCCGGTAGACAATTCGAATTCCTCTTCGGACGGTTCTTCTGCGGCAACGGCGACGTGTGGATCACGAGGAACGGTTTCAATGTCATCTCGATGGACACCGGCGCGGTGTCGCGGTCGATCGAACAGGTGCTGCAAGCTATTTGTATCGCGTGGTTCAGTCGGAGCTCCTCTACCCATTTGTTCAGCGTGAAGCTCACGTCCGCTTTAACCCATCCCTCTGTAATATGAAATGTCAAAAATTCTCGTCATCACTCGGGGATGCAGGATGCGCGCGCAAATGCCGGTTGGTAACTGTGGATCGGTAACTGAAGTGGGGAACGCGATTGCTGTACACTCCCTTCCAACAGTGTTAGGACACCTGCTTATTTCGTGTAAATTGTAATATTTCATTCGGTTCGGGTAGTGGCTGCAAGTCTGCGATACGGCATCGTGTTGTCCAAGCTACGTACAGTAATGTCTCCCTAATTGACGCACAGATTGCCCACAAAAATGGACAATTTTAGGGAGAAGAAAGACGATTATTCGATCCTTGCGGTTCATTTTTATAGTCATGAATCGTCAACGACTATAGAAACGAGCTGCAAGGCTCGAATAATCGTGTCTCCTCTTCCCAAATTGTCTATTTTCCTGCACAATCTTAGCGTCAATTAGGGAGACATTACTGTATTAAGTTATAAGTGTTTATTGTATTTATTGCATTTCGTTCATTGGAAGAGTATCCAGAGTTCATTTCGTATTATTCGAGATATTTATATATTTTTTATATATTTATATAGATATTTTATATATATACATATATATATATATATATATATATATATATATATATATATATGTATAGATATTTATATATTTATGAGACGCGTCGATACACAGATACGTTTTCTTAATACGCGAAACATTCTATGAAATGCAGCGAGCCAAGAGTAACAGGAATAATAAACAAAAGCTCATGAAACGTATGTCGAAATTAGTCCAAGAAGCAATTAAAGAACGCGGTAGTATATCGACTTAAAAGAACATATAATTTTCTTCTTATAAAATCAACGTTATTTCTGTAACAACGTGTAACACGTACTCGTTACAATTTAATGTAATTAACCTTGAAATGAGTTCAAAAAGTTATAACCCGATCTCCTGTCGGGTTTTCATATTTATTTAACTTTCTGTAAGTGTCCTAATACTTTTGGAGGGGTGTGTACCTCCGAGCGCGAGAGCTGCAAGAGCACACGTGAACACGTGTGCACACGTGAACACGTTCGTTAGTTGGAACCAATTCCGGATCGTACTCGGCACCGTGCTGAACTCTTTGCGCAATAAAAATGTTGCGTGTGTCGTTGCTCTGGCAAACTTCGATCCTCTCTTTCAGCGTCGCGATACGTCTGTATCACGAGGATACTGTATTTTTTCCGATATAACGATCCAACGTTTACCATGGTCTAAAGTCCCTGCCGAATGGCAACGAATGCGATTCAACGTTAATGTTGTTAGATCGTCCGCTTCTTAAGCAGCTGTAAGGGATTCAGCGGGATGGGCGAGAAACTGTTGAAAATTATGAAAATTATGAGAATTATGAGAATTATGAAAATTATGAGAATTATGAAAATTATGAGAATTATGAGAATTATAAAAATTATGAGAATTATGAAAATTATTGAAGATTCGTGTTTCGCTCTGTGACAGGTTCTGACTTGCTCACGAGGCAAATGGCAAGTACTAAAAAGACCATGGGCACTGAAATCGCACTGGGATTGCACTGGGATCGCACTGGGATCGCACTGGGATCGCACTCGAATAGCACTGTAATGTTATTGTAATGTCATTGTAATAGCACCAACTCGATGATAAATCGAGTACCTACCTCCGATATCCGTCTCAAAGATCGCAACCATGGTATTCTTCTCAAAATTTCCGTCCAGGTCCCAATGATCGAGTTCCGAGAGCACAAATGTCTGATTCAGATCGTCGTTCTCGTCGTACTCTTTGTAAAACCATAACTGCGCGGAGGTCACGTCCACAAATTGCAACTCGTTCGGCAGATAAAACGTGAAGCAGGCCGCGGGATTGAACCCGGTCAAATGGTTCGAACTCTGTCGACATTTTTTCGAGTCGGCTACACCTGGAACAGATGTTTCATCGATTTTTCTGGGTTCGTCTCGCGATCGAATCGAATTTTCCGGCGAACAGTGTTGGTTCGGAAACGGTTACGCGAGATACGGATGCCCGGATTCTCGTTATCCGCCCTCCCGACTTTCGACCGTTCGTTTCCTAACAGCTCGGCATTCTCGCGACACGGTACAGTAAATTTTCTCGAATTAGAAAGGCGCGATAGAGGAGGCACGATCATTCGAGCCTTACCAAATATTGTCCATTTTTGTTTTCAAGCCGAGGGTCAATTAGGTTACCGATTGTCAACAAGCGTAAAAACGAGCCGCAAGGCTCGAATAATCGTATCCCCTCTTCTCAAATTGTTTATTTTTGCGTACAAGCCGAGGGTCAATTCGAAAGAATTTACTATAGTACCGTTTCGCGGGAGAAGTGAGTAAATATATATTCAATTCTATATCTATATTATATTATTATTATATATATATTATATATAATATAATATAATATAATATAATATAATATAATATATAAATATATTCAATAAATATATAAATATTGATTCACTTCTCCCGCAAAAC